TACCGCCGTATAAATCCAATGTATTATCTGCGGTCGCAGACCCCAGTCTTTTCCAATAGTAGCTTTGCAGGAGTAGAGCGCAATGAGAGCCTTCTTTCTCCGCTCTTCGGTGTTCCTTTTCCAGGAAAGCTTAAAGTCGAGAATAACCCCCAAAAACTTTGCTTCTTTTGACAATTCGAGATTTGCTCCATTGAGGGACGGAAGTCGGAAATTGTCTATTTTATATCGCTTGGTGAAGAGAACAAGTTCGGTTTTAGTGGGATTGACCCCTAGGCCGTTTCGTTCTGCCCACCCTGACAGATCGCTAATTGCAGATTGTAGAATCTCGCTGACCGTGGAGAGAAATTTTCCCACGACCAGAATGACTAAGTCATCCGCATAAGCAACGACCTTAGCGGCTTTTGATGTGCGAAGCAGGAATTCGTTTAGCACGAGGTTCCACAGTAGGGGGGATAGCACCCCCCCTTGAGGTGTGCCCCGTGTGGCTGTTTTCCTTACTTCTGATGTTCCCAAGGAGCCATTGATATTTCTGGTGCTCAACATATTGTCGATCCAGAGTGTGATCAATGGGTCCAGTCCTACAGCCACCATGGAGCAGTGTATGGATGCCAAATTAACATTGTTAAAGGCGCCCTCCACATCCAGGAAGGCTGCCAGCGCATATTCCTTGTGATTCAGTGCTTGCTCTATACTCCCAACAACCTCGTGCAGGGCTGTTTCAACCGACCTACCTTTACGGTAGGCATGTTGAGCCTCGCTGAAGTTCCCAGGAGTAAGGCGTTGCGTGATCTGCAGACTCAGAAGCCTCTCCATTATTTTGAGAAGAAATGATGAGAGGCTGATGGGCCTAAAATCTTTTGCAGTGCTGTGGCCCGCTTTTCCTGCTTTGGGAATGAAGACCACTCTTACCTCCCTCCATGGTTTGGGATATAGCCTAGGAGGAGACTCGCCCTATAGATTGTCGTTAACCAGGGGGTTACCGTGGCGCTTGTTCGTTGTAGCATGGCTGGAAAGATCCCATCCGGTCCCGGAGATTTGTAGGGTTGGAAGGATTTGATAGCCCAAGCTACTTTATCTGCAGTGATGATTTCGTCCACTGGACTGCCTTGCCTGTGGGTACTAGGGTGTTCTGTCACAGGAGTTCCTGTGCCCCCCGCGTCACCGCAACCAGGGAAGTGGACGTCCATAATGTGTTCCAGTGTTTCAAGGCTGCTTTCGGTGTGCCCTCCTCCTGGCTTTTCCAGAAAACCAGGAGGAGCCGGGTTTTTCGAGCGGCACCTTCTTAGTCGCGCGGCATCAGTAGTCGTTTCGAGGTCCTCACAAAATTTGGACCACGAAACCTTCTTTGCCTTCTTTATCTCTTTCTTGAACGCATTGAAGTTGCGACGATATTCGTCCCAGTCCTCCGCGTTCTTGGTGAACTTCGCTTTATTGAAAGCTTTCCTAGCTGCTATCCTGAGCCGCCTTAGATCGGCCGTCCACCACCTTGTGTGTCGCTTGGAAGGTTTTCTCTCGGGACAGGTTGTTATGTAGCATTCGTTGAGAGACTTCGTTAGACAGAGGACCGTTCCCTCCAGTTGGTCCACTGAAATTGGCTCCACCGTGTACGTCCAGACACCAACTGGCTGAATTTGTTCCAGTTTGTCCTACGACGATTTCGATAAGGTTTTAGTGTCGGTCTGTTCAGGTTAATGGAGAATACGATGCGACAATGATCAGAAAAAGAGCATTTTGTCGAGACGTGCCAGCCGTCGACCCTAACATTGTTCGAGTTAGTTACAAGAGTTATATCTATAACCTCCTCCCTTATTCTATTGTAGAAAGTGGGGTGATTACCCTTATTACAGATAGTAAGTTTTGTGGATAATAAGTAACTAAAGAGTGACTCACCTCTATCGTTGGTGTTCGAGCTGCTCCACGCCCCGTGGTGAGCGTTGGCGTCACAGCCAGCCACCATATTTATCCCTCGTTGCTCCGCCCAGGCGGTTAGTTTCCTGAAGGATATTGACGGGGCATCGGGTACATCGTATGGCATGTATAAAGATGCGAGGATGAGGTCGGGTGCTCCCCGCTGCTCCAACATTGCCACTGTCATGTCCGAATCGCTAAATTGGGGAAGAAAGAGAATATTAGTGCTTTTCTTAATCAGAATACAGGTTCTAATTTTACCTTTTACCTTCGGTCTGTGGGGTGAGAAGTAGAAAGTCGCTAGTGGATAGACCTGTGACCATCCCCGCCACTAGCCATGGTTATTGTATTAGGGCCACGTCCACATCTTCCTCACCCATGAAGAGCAGCAGATCCTCCGATGCTGCCCTGCAGTGATGCAGATTAATCTGCACCACCTTTAGGCTTTTCGGATTCTCTTTCAGCATCGGGGATGATCACCCTGAGGTGACCGATGCCATATCTTATTTGGCCGGCTTTGCGACGAAGGATCTGCAAGGATTGTGGACCGATCTTGATCCAAAGGTCCTTGCCGTTACCCTTGTCGCGAGCGCGGCCTCGGACAATCGCCCAGTCGTCAGGGATGACATCCACGTTCTTACATTTGATTAGGGCTAGTGAGGTCTCGTCCTCCACGAGGGGGGCGGGATCCACACTCGCACTGTCGTACGGGATGGCACCTCTGAGAGCGGAACAACTTGTAGTCGTGCGTTGGCCCAAAGTTCATCTTGGTTGCGGACGCAGTTTGTTAGGAAGTCTAACGACTCCTTGTTACCGCATCCAACAACTTTGACTCCCTTGCCACTTGGCTCCATCAAACATACCAATGTTGTTGTTTTTGGTACGCTGGATTTCGCCAAGTAGTACCCTCATGATCTTTTCCTCCAGGAGCAACCATTTGTCCGTCGGAATCTTTCCTTCCGGGTGATTCCGGTCTATGATTGCTACCTGGAGCTCTGGTGCTGAGCATAAGGTTGATGAAGTTTTCACCCGCTTCTGCTCAGGCTGTATCTTCTTGTCGCCAGACAGTTGTCTCTTCGGAGTGCGTGCAACCGGTCCCCTACCACCGGAGGCAATATCAGCTGCCGACGTCGTGGCCTTCTCCCCGTCCAGCCGTGGGAACACTGGCCTCGCGGTCTTCGACACCTTGGGCGTCAGTGATTGCGACGGCTTGTTGTTTCCAACAGCGGACAGGGGAGCAGCTTTCTTCGTCGGCAGACTGCTACCGCCCTCAGAGGGGGATTTGGTTGCAGCGTCCCTTTTATCGGAGTTTGTGGCTTTTCCAGAGACAGCGGCCTCACTTCCGGAAGCATTCGAGACTTTCTCCTCACGGAGTCGCTCATACTTCCGGACAATGTAGGCATGCTTCTTTTGAAGAGCCTTGTCGCTTGGCGTTAGAGTGGCGGGGTCGCACTCTCGCAGTTTCGCGAGGAATCGACGAGAGCTTTTATACCCCATCTTTCTCTTCCGCTCTTTGTCCTTCTCCTTGTCGGGATTGGCATTGTCTTGAGGCTCCTTAACTCCTTCGGTTGCAGCCGGTCTTCCAGAATCATCGGACCCCAGACTGAGCTGGCTCAGTGCAAGGGAATCCGCCCAGTCGCGATCCTCCTCATCTGAGGAATCTAGCAGTGAGTGGATTCGAAGATCCTGGGAGCCCGACTCGCCACTTTCGGATTGGCACCTCTGTTGCCTTGCCAATGTTTTTGCCTCAGTAGCTCGCCTATCATCCAAGCCCGGGGCAGACACCTGGATGATAAGGTCAACAGTAGCATTTCGATCGCTGGGGCCTGTTGTCACCACTCCAACGATAGGGTCTCCGGGGATTTTAGAACCCTCCTTTGCCGGATACTGAGGGCCGGGCTGAACAGACATTCCGGGGGAGCTATTGCATTTTATACCTACTGCCAGGTGAAGGTGTCCTGCCGCCCACTATGGGTCAGACGCAGACCAGGGAGCCGCCCCACTGGGGAACAAACGCTTCTGGATTTGTCGGTGCGTTTTCAAACGCGAAGATTGGGGTCCCGTACGTAGTGGTTCACCCGTCATCCTGAGCGTTCTGGTCGTCCTGAGCGTTCGTCTATGCAAGTCACGTACAGTCCGGGTCCAGTCCTCACTACGGGAGCTCAGCCTTGAGCGTGGATATACCGCCTCGCACCGGTCGACAGAGCCTCGTTAGCGATAACAAGGATCACCAAGCCTTGACGGGCAGTGGGTGAGGTTGTCGTTTGGGAAGGATAGGTTATATATTCACTTCACTCCCCCATTAGATCCCCCCCATTAGAACAATTTTCAGTTCCTAAATACCTCCTCAGAATTGTTGCAAACTACTTCGATGATCGAATCCCCCAATATAGCTCTGCACAAGGTAGTAAATCATTCAAGATTACCGGCGGGGTTCCTCAAGGCTCGGTGCTGGGACCGCTTCTTTGGAACGTGATGTCGACGGAGTACTTCGACTGCGGCTCCCGAAGGATGTAACGATAGTGGGATTCGCTGACGACATAGCTATTGTCGTAGTAGCAAAATATATATACGAGATAAAGGCAGCTGCAACCGCTGCAATAATGATGGTGTCACAGTGGCTGGACTCAATGGGGCTGGAGTTAGCTCAGCATAAGACGGAGGCAGTCCTAGTCACTGGAAGGAAAATCCGCGAGACCCTCACTCTGCAACTTAGGGACTGCGAAATCTTCACAAAGCCTGCCATAAAATATCTTGGTGTAATGATTGACGCGAGACTAACTTTCAAGGAGAATCTCGAATTTATCTGCGAGAAAGCGAGTAAGGTGTGTTGTGCCCTGACTAAAATGATGCTAAACCTCCGAGGGCCAAAACAAGCCCGCAGAAGATTGCTAGCCGGGATTCTCAAATCTGTGATACTTTACGGCGCAAAAGTGTGGAGCTACGTAGTGGAAGTAAGATCATATATTCGCGGTCTCAGGTCTGTCTACCGGCTATGTGTGTTAAGGGTTTGCTTTGCCTATAGTACCGTATCCGAAGACGCCGCTTTAATACTGTCTGGATTACACCCAATAGAGCTTCTGGCGAAAGAAATGTCAATGAATACACCTAGCAATCTAACACTTCCTGCTAGGAAAGCACTAGCCCGTAAACACACGCTAGAGATGTGGCAGAAGAAATGGGACGAATCGTCCAACGGACGCTGGACACAACGACTAATACCAAACATCGAAAAATGGATCTCCCGCCCGCACGGCGAAGTTAACTTCCATTTAACCCAGATGCTCACCGGCCACGGCTGCTTCAGATCGTACCTGAAACGCTTCAATCACGAAGAGCTTGACGTCGAACATGTTTTGTTTCACTGCCCGAGATTCGATCTGGATAGAAACCACATTCGCTCTGTATTTGGAGAACACCCCACACCTGAAAACATGGTAGTTCACATGATAGAATCCGTTGAAAAATGGGAAGCGGTGAACAATGCAGTCACGCACATTTTGACCCAACTGAGAAGAGATGAGCAGCGTCGAAATGGACGACACATAACTACGCCCAGATGAAATATCTACCACCAGGCGCGATATTTAGTCGAGGCACTAGCTGCTGAGGCATGAAGATAAGCAGAGGCGTTATATAATAGGCGGACGAAACATGGCGGGCGGGGACGCATGGACCCGACAAGGGTGGGTGCTTTTTCGAAGACAAAGGACGGCTCCAAGTTGATGCAACTTTCAACGGACTGCATCAGGACTGCAACGAACGTAGAGCTTCGTGCTCAACCCACCTCCCGACGAAATACTTGACGGTGGTACCGGGAGGGGAACGGTACATGACGGTAGGAGGTTTAGTTTGGGTTAAAGTCTCACACTGACGGGGTTAGGCTTTCGATGCTTCCTCCTCGTAAAAAAAAAACAAAAAAAAAAAAAAAACAAAAGCATACATACATATGTACATATTTATATATACATATATGTATTTGTTGCTTAGATTGCGTGCGTGTTGTTATTCCATTCGTGTTGTTTGCATTGGGGTTGGCCTTTGTTGGCTTCTTATAGATGGCGGCTTTTTGCTTTGGCGCTTTAGCTGACAGCGCGGCGAGGCGCAGCGCTCGGATTTTCCTTTTTAATTGTAGTGCTCGATAGTTTTTAGTTTTTTGTTGTGTTCGTTTTTTGTTAGGTTTTTTGCTTTTACTGGAAACGCAATTAGTAATGTGCGAATGTTAAACTAAGCGATTTTCGAGGCTACAATGAAAGCAAAGCAAGTCAATGTGGGAATGCTAAGCTCAGATGTGAATTGAATGAAGGCTTTTTATTTGAAGCTGGGTACTAAAATGGCCTAACAGGGTGAGCAGCTTTGAGTTTTTATTTACCAAATAAAGATATATTCCCAATTCAATATATATGTATTCTCAATAGGAAGTAGAAATCAGAGACCCGATAACGATTAGAAGAAATAAATATTGCTGCATAATTATTACTGAACAATGGAAAAGATGTTTTCGTCTTCTGAGACGAAAATCGTTAGACTAAAAACTTTTTCATTTTCTCCTTATAATTATCTGGGACTTATATTTTTTTTTTGTCTCGCGGAAAGAAGTCTTGCTTTGTTTTTCATTAAGATTATATCATAATTCTTCTACGGGGCTTAAGTCCAAAAGCATAGACAGACGGTAACGTTAATCCGGATTAACCGCGCAGTTGATCTGATCAAAATTGTATCCTGACTGATGGCAGTAATGCGGATTAATGAGCCACGAGGTCGCGGGTTCGAGTCCAACTGCCAGTAGAATTATCATAATTTTTTTTTATTCATTCAATTATTACTTTTATTTATTTTTATGTAAATGGTGCTGTTGTGTGTAACAACTTAAATTAACTAATAATAAAATAAATAATGTGAAATAAAATAAAATAAAATGAATCAAACGAAAATAAAATAAAGTAAAATAAATCATATAAATTGTACAAAATCAAAAAATATATAATGAAAAATAAAAACAAAAAAAAAATGTTGATCTCTCGAACCGAGAATCAAACCTGAGCCCTAAGGGCTTTTAGCTCTCACTATTCGGCTACCGCGGATGCCAATCTCGCTTGCTTTGTTTGCTTACTTGTACAATAAACAGCAGCTGGCCGTGTATACCAGTGTTGTCATCGAAGATACCCTCGATCCGAATTAATTTGGGAATTAACTTTAAGGCTTAATCCGGATAAACTGCAGTTAACTCTCGAGATAATGCCGAATTAAAGAGTTCATCCGGATCAATGCTGCCGTCTGTATATGCTTTAGGCTAATTTTGGGGTGGTTAAAAAACATTATCATAAGTATGTTAAAAGAATTTCATATTTGACGTTCAACTACATTCGAGGCAAAGCTGATTGTACATATACGATTGTAGGGCCAATATCTGCACATTAATTGCAAAAGCATGATTCGATTTCTTAGATGATTTCAACTTTAAACCGCTTCGGATTGAAAATATTGATTTTCGGTCATATTATCACCATTTTTTGTTTGGACCACATGTGTTTAGCTTAGGTCAGGTAACCGCTCCATTTGTGACGCAGTTAGACCTGTGAAAAGTTAACTAAAAAAATTTGAAGAAATAAGAAATCTTTTGCTTAAACACCCTCCATTCCATAGAGTTCTTTGGGAGTTTTCATAAAATTAGCACCGAGATTTTTAAGCCTTAGCGTCATGCAGACTGAAAAGCCAGGAACATATTTTTGAAATTCTCACATATCTTGCTCACCCAGAAAGCCAATAACTGTGACATTAAGGGGCCCGAAGCGGTATGGAGACTTAAAATGAGCTCCACAGTGCTTGGCACCGATTCTTGTGAGGATCGAGAAATTCCTTAATTTCATCCCAAGCAGTCTCCTTGAACGCCGACGGAACACCAACGGCTACAATAAACTTGCAACTTGTACGAAAAGGTTTTGGCCAGCGCCCGCTAAGTGAACTAGTGGACCATCTGTACAAGTGCAGGTGAGAAGTTGTCAAAAACGCCAAATACTCTCTCTGGGCCCGACGCTGACCAGTCTTCCAGTTTCATGATCATTAAGTTTCTGGCAAAGCTGTTTTGTGTCTTTAATCACATGTATGTATTAAGTACGTTTGTCCATTGATTTGGAAGTTTTATAAACGATCAAAGGAAATGTAAGAAGTTACCTGAATAATTTTGATCGCACATGCAATTAGCTTCAGTCTATTTTAGCCGCTTAATCAACGGTATATCAATCAAGTATCCTCTCTAAACATCATTGCAGCAGTGAGTCAGTCAGTTGACCTCAGCTTTTGAAATTTGAAATGCGTTGCCAGAATCCTGCTCTACGGAGGTCCATGCCATTAGTCTGTGTGCAGAAATTAACCTACGTAAAAATTATTGAAATGAAAAAATTCGAATATTGAGTGGTAGCTAGCGGAACTCAAGGCCCTCCCATAATTTGAGCTCTTGAATGCATTGATATTCTACGTTCTGGCGAAGTACAATATTGTCCAGCTAATTTTGGTACCAGTTCACATATAAGTTGTAGGTAACGAGGGAGCGGACCGGCTAGCCAAAACGTCGGCCGACTCGTCGCCTATAGAGCCTGAACCTTTCCTTGCGATCGGACCTAGCACAATCAAGGTAGAGATCAGGAAGGAGAGGAATCAGGACTCAGAGATCAACACTGGCGTAACACCTCCTCAGGTCTACGCCAGTAAAGTGCTTACTGGAAGGATACAACCTTACCAGGGCAATCATAAAGCTCCCCAAAGTGAGGTTAAGAATAGTAACAGGTTTTCTGATGGTTAACTTTAATCTAAGAGGTCACTTGCACAAACTATGTCGTTTCTGCGAGTTGACTGCGGAGGGTTCTTTGCAACTGCTTCGCGAGTGCAATTAAACTTTGTATTAAAGATAAATGTGACGAAGAAATTAATGATAACGATTAAGACAAAAAAGTGACGGCAAAATTGGAGATAAAGGCGAAAATGAAATCAACGAAAAATAAATACATATGAATTGGGGTAACGGAAAGTGTAAGAAAATTTGTTAGAATTTTTCGATATGCATCGAAATAAACTCAGGCATACAAAAATGTGTTACCTGAAGTTATCCGGTTACCGAAATTGATCGAATCATCGCAGTTTATAGTTATCGAAATTTATCGAGTTATCCATGTTTCTTGAGTTATGCTGCCTATCGAATTATTCACATTGATCAATGTTTATTGAGTTGTCGAAAATTACGGATAGTTATCTAGCTATAAAAATTTATGGGATTATCGAAATTTTTCAAATTAATAAAATTGATAACATGATAAGTTATCGATAGTTATTGAATTATCATTATTTAGAGTTAACGAATTCTATCGAGTTATCGTAATGCATCGAGATCATTCAACTTATCGAGTTGTGTATATTTAATGACTCACTGAAATTTGAAGATTTCTCGTATAGAAGTTTTTGAAATTTTCAAAATATATCGATTTTGTCAAAATTTCAAGGTTATACATGTAAGTTTATCTTGTAATCACTGCTAATCGAATTTTATCGTGATACCAGAGTGTAAAGGTTTATCGAAATTTGTTGATAGTTTTCGAAAAATATGAAGCTATAAAAACCAGGGTTCGGATTTGCCTCATTTTAGCCCCCCGCTCGCTCGTTAGTTTGCTCTGAGCTAGCGCAACACACGAGCAACACGCGAGGCTGTTTGCAAATGAGCACTCGTTAAGTACGAGCGCACTCGCTGAGCAGCCAGCGAGCGAGGCACTCATTTGCAGCAGCAGACGAGCGAGGCGAGTAAACGAGCGAGGCAAATGAGGCAAGCAGATTAGACAGGCAAACGCGTTGTTTGGTCGGCAAAAATGTATGGGATAAAAATTGCAGCAACTAAGAATTTCGAGTAAAGGATTGTATGCACGCATGCAGATATTTATATACATACATATGTATATACACATATGTTTGTATATATTCTCATGCACAGAAGAATAGATTCGTGCTATTTGGACCAGTTTTATCTACTAGGTAGGCACATATGTGCATACATATCTATGTAGGTATAATGTTTTTAATGTTCAATAATTTCTTATAAAATTTCAACTTATACACTTAGGTCTCTTTTTATGCGGTTCTTTTTTATGCGGATTTGAATTTATGCGGCTTTTCAAACACTTTTCGCTGTAGCGATTTTGCTTTTTTGAGAGCTTTTATTACTTTTTTTCAATATGCAAGGGGCAATGCTTCTGATAAATAATTTGTTATTGTATTCTTACATACAAGTAATTACTAAGTAATTTGACTAAGTAACTATGTTCCATACAGGGTTCGTATTTGCACACACATGCTCTGCTCACACACACGCCAGAAACACATTCAACTTGTACTCACTGCTCATACACATGTGTGTACATAAGTGGAAAACAAACTCTGCTCACAGAAAAGTGTGTGCTGTTTGTTATTAAGCACATGCACATGTGTGTGAGCCGATTTTTGTACAAATTTCAGCCCATGCACATGCACATAATGGCTGCGTTTATTTATACATTCCAGATAATCCCATTTCACAGCC